CGTTATTTTGCATGAATGAGTAACCTTAAAATCAGTATCATTTGCATTAATGCCTGGCCCCATTTTTTTGTTTTTTTAATTCATACTGCATCCACACCACAAGGTGTCAATATAAATCCAAGACCACTGTCAAAGCGATCAAGAACTGTGCGCACCTTTAATTTATCATTAATTTATTAGTTTCTCAGAATCAAAACTGAAACAAAAAAGACAGAAGGTACAAGTGTTTAATACATCTAGACAACAGTACATTAAAACAAGTGAGAGGACAGAGGGAGGAGGGGAGGTGTTGACGTCCTGCGGTACATTAGCACTGATGGAATTAGAGAGAGAGATGGAGAGCGAGATTACAGATAATCCCTCATAAATGAGTGCATTTGTTTATGACGTTTACAAATCTCCCATTTAGAGTATGGAATAATAATCCAAGCAAGAAATCATGTAATCATTCATACCCCGACTGCCCATCTCAACACGACACCCCTTCCATTAAACCCAAACCCTAATACCACTGACCCTCCTCTAATGCACCAAAAATCTGACTCTTGCCTTACACTGGCCATTGATCCTCTGTACTTGAATTAATCTACATTGCGCTGTAAAATAGAGGATAGAATGGCTAATGGTTCAAAAGGTGTTAATATCATCCTATGCATTTGATACTCAGCAGGCCTGGAAAACAGTTTAAGAGCAGAGCAGATGTATGGATGTACTGTACCTCTTAGGTAAATGACTAAGACCCTTCTGACCTGTTTCCATCGATGTTTGACTATCACCGAGATGCGTTCATGAGTAATCTCTTTCTCCCTCATGGTAACATAACATTACACAACATGTTGGTGTTGTGCGCAGGATTTTGTCCAGTGCTGAAGAGTGTGGATATTAATAGTGATAATGGAGCAGCCGATGGGCCGTTCTCATACATTTTAGCATGGCTTTTTTAGAGTGAAACATTTGTTTAACCTGGATTTCTCAAAGCGGCAGGTTTTTCTCAGCGTGTCCATTTTTAACCAGTGCTCTAGGATGCTTTCTTTAGTAAACTGTAGACATGCCAAGAATTGCTCAGATTCTTTTTAAACCAGTGAACAATGACATTTTATTTAAATTTACATGAATAAATGAATAATCATGTACATGAATAATTAATGTACATGATTTACCATTGCCAGTGTGATAATGTTTTTATAACAGATTAAGTCAACGTCAGTCAGAAGTTGCGACTGACTTTCCTTCAGTATTGTGATGTACTCTGACTGAAATAGAGGCTTGATTTTAGTGCATCTCTAGCTCACAGCAGACTGACAGGTGGAAGGGAGATATTAAGAATGATCTTCTCCTTCTTATCAGGGAAGGAACACCATTCCGAAGGGAAATTTCAAACAAAAGTGTAAGACAAACTAATTTCATATGTTTATTAACTTAGAGTAATGTGCGCTAACAAAGTAAACAGGATTAACTGAGAAACTTGAACTTTAGACAAATTAGATCTCAACGAAAACATTTCTGAACAAAGCCACAGAAAATAGACTGCATCTCCAAACAATACACTGTGGTGATATTTTGTTCCTGAACAAAACAGTTGTTGAACAAAATGGTTGAATGAATGATTCAATGACTCATTCTTAAAGAGGCCGCCACCTACTGTTGTAACAATGTAAGTAACCTGTCACTAAAACATCCCCACCACTACAATACACAGTCTGACCGACTGAAACGTACAATAACAGAGAGGTGAAAAGAACAGTGATATTGGATCTGCGTACTAAACATTTCCATACTAAATAAAATGTGAAAAACACTTGGCATGAAGAATATGTCCGAATTCTTATAGTATTTATGAAACAGTACGTGAGAAATATATGGATGGTTTACTACTTTTTCAAGATTGGAATGCCGCTGGATCAATTAAATTTACAGGACAGTAACTAACGGTTGTACAAAATTAAATAATAAAATACATATTTAAATATACATTAATATGTAAGAACGTAAAACTTAAAACACAAACAGATTGTTTGTGGTCAGGACTTTCCTTTAACTTCTATTGTTCTATATTGCATTAATGATATTTTCTTTCTCCTACCTATCTAAACAGAAACTTTTTTCATTTTCATTAAGGCAATACATAGCATGTTTATTAAGCCATTTTCTTCGTGGATAGTGTTGACTGATCATTTGCTTCCCATAACATAGGCAAAACCTGATCCACCCTCACATACATAGACAATCCTATACACTGTAAAAAATTACCATGAATTTAACGGTAAAAGACTGTAAAAATGCTACAGTAAAAACCTGTTAATTGGTTAACGGTAAATTCCCCTACTATATACGGTGAAAACTGTATTGGACATTAATTTTACGGTAGTATACCATTTTTGGAAGTGAAAAAGACTGTATAATTTACAGTGAATAACCATAAATTGACATTCCCAGAATTCCCTGCGTTACATTTCAAATTTAATGTTTTTTTGTTGTTGAAATAATTATGTTTCTTCTTAGTTTTTTCTTATCAGTTTTGTATATTAGGGTTGTGTGTTACACCTAATGTTGTTAAATGAATGCTTATTGCATTATTTCAGTGTCATGTGTGTTACCATGATGGTGTTTAGCATTTGTGTGAATGACACTGTGCACCTCCTATATGTGTTATTATTTAAAAGCTGCTTGTGATGGGCTTTGGTTCATCATGTGACTTTCTCATCACCACATTTTGTGGTTATCAGTGTATTACAAAGGTACAAAACAGATTTCAGTACTTCAATAGGTTGGAATATTAACATTATATCAGTTAATGAAATAACGGTACTTAACTGTAAATTTAAGTTAAAACAGTAAAACCATAGCTGCCGGTTTTTTACCATAAATTTTACAGATTTTTTTTTACTGTGTACAAATGCACACATCTTAACTATACATTACGATAAAGGGCTTTTTAAATGACACTGAATATAATGCTGCACATAACCTTTCCTCAATGTTCATCCATGCAAAAGTAAACCACTCCCTTTTGTCCTAATAGAATATAATCCTTTTCACCCATGGGTTGCGTTGTCCCCCCTCCTTGCTAAATCGGGTGATGATTTTATCCACCATGCTGTGATGTTTTGTCTGGTTCAGCGAGGTGGGGGAGGACGAGTTATATTTATGATAATGATAGTTTGTCAGTTCTAAATCAGGACACTAAAATTGATTTAAGCGAAGCCTTAAATGTTCACAGGCTTTTAAGCTCTTTTGTTGCACAAAATTCTCTCATGGTCCTCACGCATATCTGTTCCTGAAACGATGTGTTATTTATGTTTTGTTACAATAGTGTTCACACTCTTAAGAATAAAACTTAGTGTAGTGTGTATTATACTGTAGTTGAATCACAAAGCCTTCCACTCATCTCAAAGTATAAATATGGCTAATTCTGAAAGTTTCCAAGGTACGCAACACTAGCTCCCAGTGATCTGAAACCGCTCATCATTCCATACATAGAAATGTCTCTCCAGTCCATTATTTACTGTTTTCAGCTTTCTTCCATCACACTGACATGTGAGAATGTTGTGGCTGTTCTGCCTGCTCATTCATGACTAAGCATGACCTTCATTTGATGGCTTTTTAAAAAAAGTGTCGGTTTTCAGGGACATCTATGTTCAAAGTTTATGGATGTATCATCAGTGCAGATCTTTAGGATCATGCTCAGGAAATTTAGTTCAACAACTTTGCCATTGTAGGTTTTTCAGTCCATTACAGAGCCTTAAACCATCCAGCTGAGCATTATTCAAAGATGACTTCTAATTTTAGCCAACATTTTCATTGTTTATTATTTCAAGGGGAAATGGATGGATAAGCATCATCTCAGAAAAAAAAAAAGTAAATATAAAATAAAATCTGTCCTGTCTTTTCCCTCACCTGGCCCTTCACACCTGCCTTTCTGTCATGTGACCCCATGACCTGATTCTCTCCACTATTTAGTTCTCTTGTCTTTTACTCTCTGTTCTCTCCTCTCCTAACAGATTTCCCTCCCTCTCGCTCTCTCCATCCCAGGCTTTATCCTTTCAGCCCTGATCTCCCTTCATCCCCTCCAATCCTCATCTGCCCATCACAAAAGCATCACAGAGTTTACAGAGAGAGAGAGGGATCAGAAGGTGCGTAAAGCAGAAAACCTGAATGAACATTGTCCCGAGAAAAAAAGGCAAGTGGATAGAGAGTTGAAAAGGAATAAGAAATACAAATAGAGTGAAGAAACATCCCAGAGGAACAGGTAAGTGATGACGTTTTTAAGTCCTGTAGTTTTGGTCTTTTATATGTTGCTACCGATTTAGTTCTTACTTACAAATATGGCAAAGTAAAGATTATGATAATGGACTACCCTAGGAAATTTTCACTTGAAATCAGAACCGAACCATAACATACATGCCAATCAGTTTTAAGATTTAAATCGGTAAAAAACTGGTTTGTTTTGGTGCTGTAGCAACATTTTACTTTTTCATTTTAGGTAGAATAAATGCTTTTAAGATATCAGAAGATAAAAAAAGACATTGTGTAGTGTAATTAATAATTTCTCTACATTGTGATTCATGTTTAGAAAGGTGCACATATTAAGAAATATTTGTATTATTATAAATGTCCTAATAATTAATCATAGTATAATGAATCATCTTTAGGTTCTAAATAAATAGTTATAGCACTTTTTAACCATAAAAGGTTTGGAAATGACTTGATAATACTATGGCAGACTGTTCTTTAAACAAAGTAATTTGCCGAAAACTCAAATTCAAACGATGGCTAGGCCACACTTTCACACCCATTCCCAGCTCTCTCGCTCTCTGTTTCTATCCCTCTATCCCCCTCCCCATCTCTACTGTAGCTCTTATCCAGATGCAAAGAGCAGTCAATAATCGGATGAGAGCAGATTTGATTCAAAAGGCCTCCCTTAAAATCTCAGCAATGTTGAGGATTTAAACTCACTCTCTCTTGCCTGTCTGTTTCTCTCTCTCTCTCTCTCTCTCTCTCATTAGTCTCTTTCTGGTTATGGTGCTCTGGTTTGGTGCTCACGGTCTTGTTGATAATAACATTACCTTGCCCTTTAACTCACACTGACGGCAAATACACAAATTCCAGGTATGACGTTTACCTTGAGTTCCAGAACAGGGCTATTTATTGATGTCCGTTACAGGACAGCTCCCTCCCATCCACACCCTTTGCTCTCTCGCTGTCTCCACTCAAACAAATTTTAGGCAAAAGTCATTTGGTCTTGAGAGCTCGGGAGAGACACAAAGATTCAATAAACCATTCAACAAAAGGAAATAGCCTACATTAATCTTCCTTTGTAAGGTAAGACATGATATTCAAACTTAAGAATAACTCAATATTTACTTTAAAAATGCTTTTCGTTAAGGCGAATGACAGCACTCTAATTGTTCAAGCAAACTGGGGTGAACCATCCAAGAGGAAGGGCACAATTATTATAGATGACAGTATTGAGAAAGTCAAGCCTCATCAATAATGTCTGATATGGGTTTCAGGAATGTTTACCTGTTTTTTACTCATTGTTTCTATGAAAGGCACTGTAAATAGTCACAATAATCATTCTTATTACTCTAATTTCAAGGGAGCAGTACCCAAAAACTAATGTGCTGTAGATGTATATAAAGTATTTATGAACTAAGCCATCTATATATGTAATATCTGATTCTATATAAGCAGGTGTATGGCGTTTGATAAAGTAGTTTCTTGTTTGACTCTGACTCATTATGCACTTGTATGTTTGTGGTGGTGGTACGAGTGAAATTTTGCATGCATCCTCATTTGTGAGGATTTGCAAACCAGGTCGAAGGGAGTTTGAATTGCAAATAGATGTTGAACGAGGGAACTGAAGATATATTACAGTGAAAGCAACAACAATGAGCTCTTGCCACAAGCAGTAAAGTCAATTGCACTGTCATGATTGATGTAACAATGAAATGTATATTCATTTTCAGGAGAGTTTTCCCCCAGCATTCTCTTGGCTCTACTGACCTCACTTCCTGTCTGTATCTGTGGGTGACCGTGCCTGACTACCGTTGCCATGGGTGAAATGGAGCAACTGCGAAAGGAGGCGGAGAGCCTGAAGGATGAGATTACTGTTAGTGTCAAGAATATGTCTGATAAACCTTCACAAACATCTGTGTAACTTTACAGAATATCACCGATTGATTCTCAGTTCTAGATCAGCTGTGGATGTTTTGTGCTCTATAGGCGGCTCGTAAAGCAGTGCAGGACCTCACGCTGCAGGATCATGTGGCGGGGACAGCTGTTGTGGGACGTGTCCAGCTAAAGACCAGGAAGACATTGAGAGGACATCTGTCCAAAATCTATGCCGTGCACTGGGGGGACTCAAAGTAAACGTCTATATGCAAATAAAAGCAATACATTCTGTTCCACATGTACTAGTCTGCAAGCATATCCAAATACACATAATACACTTTATTTGGGCAAAGATAAGTGAAATTAATGATTACGTAAACAGATATTTGTACATGGATACAATAGCAAGCAATGATGCAGGTCTGAATGTGATTAAGAAATTTGACTTCTGCACCAAAACCACATTCTGTTTAATGTAGGAGGTTGGAAAGGGATCAGATCTTTTGCATATGTTTTTTTTGAGTGTGTGTGTGTTGAAGTAAATTCACTTGAGACAAACACTGAATTAACCGCAAGTCTTTTCAAACATTTATTTTTACATTTGGTCCAGGTCATAAGTATTAAAAAGCAAGTAAGTCATATATATTTAATATATAGCTTGTAAAATCCTAAGATTTTGGTATTCATACGTCCTTTTAAAATCAAACCTGTAACCTTGGTGATGTTAGAAACGTTCTTCACTAGTTGTGGTTTTAGGTATTCAAATAAAATATAAATGTTAGATTTTAAGTTACAGTTTAACTTTAAAAACTTGTAATAAAATTTTAGTACTAAGTAGATGACTAAACTGAAGTCAATATGTAAATATTTTTAAAAAACTAGTAAAAATGACAAAAGCGCATAAAAATACTGAAACAAACTCAAACTGGAAATATAAAATCAATTCTAATTCAAAATGTTAAGAAATACTATAATAGTATATAAAGAATACTAAAATAATACAGAACATTTATTTTCTAATCTGGTGTTTGTTTTTTTATATTTCTCTCAGACTGTGTGTCAGTGCATCTCAAGACGGTAAACTGATTGTATGGGACAGCTACACCACCAACAAGGTACTGAAAAGTTTTTCAGTGTTACATTCTGGTACAAGTCTGATCTTAGTCCTTTGCTACAAAAAAGGCCAAAAATCATCGAGCCTATAGTTATCTGTTGTTACAGACGTTACAAATGACAAAATCTGATGCTTTAACTTGGAGCTGCTGTCACGTACATTTAAATGCAAATCGTTTCTGGTGAAGGCTATTAGGAAAATCAGTACCTGCCAGTGGTCACATTGTGTGCAAGAGGGAGGAGACGTATTTAAATGACATGAAGCACGAAAGCACGACTGAGACGGTTTCAGTTCTATAGGATATAGAAGCTGCTTTATGCCACCTATTTAATCATAAACCAAAGTAATTTTGATTTTATTTAGTGCTATTGAGACTATATCTAACAATTTTGTTATTACAGACAAAGGGAAAGGTCCATTTTACACACCAATTATTCATATTTACGAAAGTTTCACGAATAAGGCTCAATGTATATAATACCATTCGCCGATAAACCTTGATCTGTAGAATATTAATTACCCATCCTCTCTGATTGTGGTCTAGGTGCACGCAATCCCACTGAAGTCCTCGTGGGTGATGACATGTTCGTACGCACCTTCAGGAAACATGGTGGCGTGTGGAGGACTTGACAACATGTGCTCCATCTATAACCTGAAGGGCAAAGATGGCAACGTGAAGGTCATGCGTGAGCTCGCAGCACACACAGGTGAGCATATGTGAACCAGTCTAGCCAATGAAATATTTAACATCGGTTAGCTGCACCTCTGTTTTGACTGTATATGATCTGAATGTCTGTTATGGGTTTTGTGTTGATCAGGTTACCTGTCCTGCTGCCGCTTCCTGAATGACAATGAGATCATCACCAGCTCTGGAGACTGTACCTGGTACATTCACTTTAGACTTCTAATAGCTATAATCTAAAATAGCAAAGAAAATGTAACAGTAATAACAAGGTGACCTCTGACCTGTTTCCAGTGTTCTGTGGGACATCGAGACAGGATCGCAGAAGACCGTGTTTGCGGGTCATCTGGGTGACTGTATGTCTCTGGGTGTGGCCCCTGACTTCAACACTTTCATCTCAGGAGCCTGTGACTTCACAGCCAAACTGTGGGACATCCGTGACGGCCAGTGCAGACAGACTTTTGGAGGCCATGAGAGTGACATTAACGCCATAGGGGTAAGAATGATCAGTAAGGCTGTAATTAATCCATAACCACAGAAATATTGATTACTTACATTTGATGATAATGAATGGGGCTTGCTAAGACTTTAATATACTATTATTTTTGCCAGTGGTTCTTACCTTTTTTGACCTTTTTTACCCCCTCCCCACATTTCCTCACTGTCGGCAACAATATTTCAAGGCCACAAGATTTTATTTTTTTTTCAAAACATTTCTTACTACTAAAATATTTTACAATTTGGCAAAACTAGAAGGATGGATATACATCATAAAAATGCCCATAGAGCACTGTTGTTGAGTATTATTAATATACTTTTATAGTATTTATTATTTTCAATTATTATTTAATTTACATTTTACTAATGTTGTTATGTGCCTTTATCATTTTTACTAGATATAAAATATTTCTATTTAGCTTTTTCTTTTAGTTTGTTATTTTAATGTATTAAAATAAAGCATTTTATTTCAGTTATTTCAGTTAGTTAGTAGTAAGTTTTTCATCTGACATTTATTTTATATTTTATTTCAGAATTAGTTTTTATTACTTTTAATCATTCATTTTTATTTTTATAAGTTTTAATAATTTAATACTTTTAGTTATACATTTTTATTAATTTATTATAAAATTAATGCAATTTTATTACTTTTCATAACTGGTTCTTCAAAGAAAAAAAAAACTGCTGTCGAAGGGGTGATTTTTTGTTGTTTTTGCCTTTTTTAAGCTTTTTTTATTTTATTACAATTTTTAAGTTATTTTGAGGCCCCCTTGGAAGTTTTTGAGGTCCCCTAGTTGGCCCCGGCCCCCCGGTTGAAAACCACTGCCTTAATGTATTTAACTTATACATTATGTAGATTATTCTGTACTGTTTGCACTACAAACATGAAGGATATTTAGGGACCAAAAATATTCTAAAGTCTTTGAACCTGGATCAGAAAGCAGCCACTCAGAACAACTTAGAAACCACATAGCGATACACTAACAACCACTGAGAACAGCTTGAAGCATCCACACAGCACACACTTACAGTGGCAGCAAGTTTTGCGATATATAGTTGAAGTCAAAAGTTTACATACACCTTGCAGAATCTGCAAAATGTTACCAAAAGGAGGAGGAAAGGAAAGGAAGGAAAAACTATGCATTAAGAAAACTTTTTGAATTTGAAGATCAGGGTAAATGTAACTTATTTTGTCTTCTGGGAAACATATAAGTATCTTCTGTCGCTTCTGAAGGGCAGTACTAAATTAAAAATATATGATATTTAGGCAAAATAAGACAAATGTACACATCTTCATTCTGTTCAAAAGTTTTCACCCCCTTAATGCATATTTTTTCCTTCTGGAGCATCAGTGAGCGTTTGAACCTTCTGTAATAGTTGCATACGGGTCTCTCAGTTATCCTCGGTGTGAAAAGATGGATCTCAAAATCATACAGTCATTGTTGGAAAGGGTTCAAATACACAAAAATGCTGGAAAACCAAAGAATTTGTGGGACCTGAAGGATTTTTCTGAAGAACAGCAGGCAGTTTAACTGTTCAGGACAAACAAGGGAGTAATGAACAACTATCACTAAACAAAAAGAATCAAGATGTATGTAAACTTTTGACTTCAACTGTATTATAATAAATGCATCCATTTTTCTCTCTGTGTCACCTTTCAGTTTTTCCCCAATGGCAATGCAGTGATCACAGGTTCAGATGATGCTTCCTGCAAGCTGTACGACCTGCGTTCAGACCAGGAGCTCATCACGTACCAGGACTCCGGCATCATGTGCGGCGTGACCTCCCTCGCTCCCTCTCTCTCTGGAAGACTCATCCTCGCTGGGTACGACGACTTCAACTGCAACATCTGGGACTCGCTGAAGGCGGAGAGAGTCGGTATGTCACCGGAAAAAGATGCAAGGATGGATGTCAATCTCGGGAGAACGATAAAGCATATTAGATGCAAAAATATCTGTATATTAACTATAATAAAATAGTGTTTGTCTTTTCCAGGAGTGTTGTCCGGTCATGACAACAGAGTGAGCTGTATTGGCGTGACACCTGATGGGATGGCCTGCTGCACAGGATCATGGGATAGCTTTCTGAAGATCTGGAACTAAGGCTCTGTCTCAAACGGAGGCAAACATAGAATATGTCAAAGACAGGGTAAAATGTAAAGGGGACAATTGAAACGGTAGGATATAGTTGAATAAGTAGGGAGGGAAAGCGATATGTTTGTTGTGCCGTCACAACGAGAACGATTGTGAATAAGAAAACCTCATTTAAAGATGGGCCACTTACAGTGGCAGCAAGTTTTGCGATATATAGTTGAAGTCAAAAGTTTACATACACCTTGCAGAATCTGCAAAATGTTACCAAAAGGAGGAGGAAAGGAAAGGAAGGAAAAACTATGCATTAAGAAAACTTTTTGAATTTGAAGATCAGGGTAAATGTAACTTATTTTGTCTTCTGGGAAACATATAAGTATCTTCTGTCGCTTCTGAAGGGCAGTACTAAATTAAAAATATATGATATTTAGGCAAAATAAGACAAATGTACACATCTTCATTCTGTTCAAAAGTTTTCACCCCCTTAATGCATATTTTTTCCTTCTGGAGCATCAGTGAGCGTTTGAACCTTCTGTAATAGTTGCATACGGGTCTCTCAGTTATCCTCGGTGTGAAAAGATGGATCTCAAAATCATACAGTCATTGTTGGAAAGGGTTCAAATACACAAAAATGCTGGAAAACCAAAGAATTTGTGGGACCTGAAGGATTTTTCTGAAGAACAGCAGGCAGTTTAACTGTTCAGGACAAACAAGGGAGTAATGAACAACTATCACTAAACAAAAAGAATCAAGATGTATGTAAACTTTTGACTTCAACTGTATTATAATAAATGCATCCATTTTTCTCTCTGTGTCACCTTTCAGTTTTTCCCCAATGGCAATGCAGTGATCACAGGTTCAGATGATGCTTCCTGCAAGCTGTACGACCTGCGTTCAGACCAGGAGCTCATCACGTACCAGGACTCCGGCATCATGTGCGGCGTGACCTCCCTCGCTCCCTCTCTCTCTGGAAGACTCATCCTCGCTGGGTACGACGACTTCAACTGCAACATCTGGGACTCGCTGAAGGCGGAGAGAGTCGGTATGTCACCGGAAAAAGATGCAAGGATGGATGTCAATCTCGGGAGAACGATAAAGCATATTAGATGCAAAAATATCTGTATATTAACTATAATAAAATAGTGTTTGTCTTTTCCAGGAGTGTTGTCCGGTCATGACAACAGAGTGAGCTGTATTGGCGTGACACCTGATGGGATGGCCTGCTGCACAGGATCATGGGATAGCTTTCTGAAGATCTGGAACTAAGGCTCTGTCTCAAACGGAGGCAAACATAGAATATGTCAAAGACAGGGTAAAATGTAAAGGGGACAATTGAAACGGTAGGATATAGTTGAATAAGTAGGGAGGGAAAGCGATATGTTTGTTGTGCCGTCACAACGAGAACGATTGTGAATAAGAAAACCTCATTTAAAGATGGGCTGACCTGTAGAATAATCTTGTCAAAGAAATCATGCAATACCAGAAAACCTGTTTTTCAGGGACTGCTAACTGCAAAAGTGGGCATTTACAAAGCCATTACCTATTTGGTGATTTGTGAGGTACTTTTTGGATAGGGTCTTTAACACATGGGTGTCACAGCATATTATCAATAATAGCATATGAAATAAGACTTTCAACACTAGTTGAATTAAGCTTACTGAGATCTAAATGCATCCTGTGCTATCAAACCTATGACAGAGGTTGCCAAAATAGTTGCGCAAGATCGAATATAATGACTTAAGTCTGCACAGAATGATATTTTCACTTTTATAAAATGTAGTTTACAAATTATAGATTAAACAAGTTTTAGTGAGACTGTCTGATTGAAGCTTCTTTTAAGTTTAGTGTTAAAAATTTTTTTGATAGTGCATTGCTAGTGTCATCTGTTTTTTCTGCTTTTCTGCCAATAAAAAAAACTACAACAAACCTGGCTGATTTTTATATCTCTCATATCTGATGAAACTGAAAACAAAGCTTGGGGTCATTTTTTTCCCAAAGGTAATGAATAGTTTTATTTAGCAAGGATGCATTGTTTAAAATGGTGACAGTAAATGTAACAAAATATTTCCATTTCAAATAAATGCTGTTATTTTGAACTTTCCATTCATAAAACAATTCAGGAAAAAATGTAATTTATCACAGTTGCCACAAAAATATGAAGCTGTTTTTATTTACATTAAAAGAGTTCATTTACAAACACACAAAGAAAGGGTAAAGAATAGGAAAAAAGAATGATCATGTATACATAGTGTTGGCTGGATTTATCCTGGTCTGCTCGGTTCGTCTCACTCGTTCTCCTTGTTGAGTGACAGAATCAGAGCTCTCCTGTCCATCTGGCTGAATCTCTGTTTTTCAGGGGTGGACACTTTCAACTTCATCTGAAGACAGACATGAAGATCCATTTAGTAAGTGACTACATAATACAAGTTGAATAAGCACAAAGGTTTAAATATAACTAGTGACTAACAACAGTAATTACCTGGGAGTTGCGGTCTCTGGGTGAATTAGCCTCCCTCAGGATCTGCAGAGGCGATCTGCCCTCACCAACCAGAACTTTTTCTGTATAATTAAACAAGCAAATACCTCAATTTGGTAGTTTATAACCACTGAGAAAGAGCATACTTGGGGAAGAGAAGAAAAAAAAAATAATAATACACTAGTACATTCTAGTGTACACTACAGATTCCTCATTTTGTTAGTCTTCTATCCACCTTTTAATGTAAGAGCAGGTGCAGACATTTATAAAAAGCTAATGGTGTCGCCACTTTCACTTATTTTAGCTGTACAAAATGTTGATGCTGTGTGGTGACGGACACACTCACCTCTTGGTCTCTGTTTGGTGCGCACAACCATGTTGTTATTCTCATTTGTGGCCGTGTTTTTGGTGGAGAGTGGTGAGGACACCGATGTTTTTCCACGCGCCTGTACCCCTCTCGCTCTGACTCCAGTGCTCCCGAAGCCCACGCCCAACCACTGGGGCTTAAAAATGGCCTGACTCGGGCTGCGGGTGTCAAACTTCAGACAACGGATGCCAGACTGGACCATTTCAACTGGGCTGGATTTGCTGGAGACAACAGATTGAGGTGTGGGAGGCTTGCTCTCCTCCTGCTGCTCATGGCTCGACTCTGGAAGTGCAGAAGTCACCTGATGGAGGAAGGACACACATCAGTCAGTTCCTCACAGCGTTCAACAATAGTTTCGATTCCTACCTTTACTGATATTTTCAATGGTCCCAAAACAATGAAAACCATCCATTTAACTTAATTTAAAAAGCATAATTTTTGTTTGTTTGTAACATTTTCATATTTTTTGGAATGTTAAAAATATAAAAAAAACAATTCACAAATACAAACCAAGTAATCATTTGGGGAAAAAAATTAATAACTTAGAAATTAATATAATTATTCAAGATATTTTAAAAAACAAATCCAAATATAAAAGTTATATGCGCATCATAGAAAAGTTATAAAATGTAAAGTTTTAAAAAAAACTATTTTTCTATATTTTTTGTCAAAATAACATTGCAATTCAATAATTTTTAGTAATTTCATTCATTTAAAAGAAGCCTCTAATGCACACCAAGCCTGTATTTAATTGGGGGGAAAATTGTGAGATATTACTACAAAATATTTCAAAGCTGAATTTTCAGCATCATTACTTCAGTCTTCAGTGTGACATGGTCTTTCAGAAATAATTGTAATATTCGGATTTGATCCTCAAGAAACAATTATAATAAACACAGAATTAACTAAAAACAATTAATGAATAAATATTCCACAATTCTTTTTTTCAGGATTCTTTGAAAAATAGAAATTTCTAAATAACAGCAATTATTTGAAATGGAAATCTCTGCTGTCACTTTTGATCAATTTAATGAATCGTTGCTGAATGAAAAAAAATTATAACCACTGAGAAAGAGCATACTTGGGGAAGAGAAGAAAAAAATAATAATAATACACTAGTACATTCTAGTGTACACTACAGATTCCTCATTTTGTTAGTCTTCTATCCACCTTTTAATGTAAGAGCAGGTGCAGACATTTATAAAAAGCTAATGGTGTCGCCGTCAGACCGATGAGCTTTGTAAAAATCGACGGCGGGGCATAGAGGAGAAACAATGTACAATATGTGGAAAATAATGTGTTTTTTAGCAACATCATATGACCCCTTTAACAGTATATGCGTATGTGACGCATTATGAATGTAAAATGTGTATCATCACCAACATCTTTAAATCAATAGTTTTATATTTATCTAGAGTCCCCCCCCCCCCCGGAACGCCGTTACAAAAAATTTTGCCCCTCCCAATGCCTCACAGCGTTCAACAATAGTTTCGATTCCTACCTTTACTGATATTTTCAATGGTCCCAAAACAATGAAAACCATCCATTTAACTTAATTTAAAAAGCATCATTTTTGTTTGTTTGTAACATTATTTCATATTTTTTGGAATGTTAAAAATATAAAAAAAAATTCACAAATACAAACCAAGTAATCATTTGGGGAAAAAAATTAATAACTTAGAAATTAATATAATTATTCAAGATATTTAAAAAAACAAATCCAAATATAAAAGTTATATGCGCATCATAGAAAAGTTATAAAATGTAAAGTTTTTAAAAAAACTATTTTTCTATATTTTTTGAGGCCCCCCCCCCCCCAGGAAAGCAGTTAAAGGAATAGTTCACCCCCCCAATGAAAACTGTCATCATTTACTCACCCTTATATTGTTCCAAACCTGTAAAATTTCTTATGTTGAACACAAAAGAAAATATTTTGAAGAACCAAACAGTAGTTGGCACCCATTGACTTCTATTGTAAGGAAAGAAATACTATGGACGTCAATGGGGACCATCAACTGTTTGATTAACAGCATTCCTCAATATCTTCTTTGATGTTCAACTTAAAGAAACTCATACCGGTTTGGAATGACATACGGGTGAGTAACGTTAAATGACGACAACATTTAAATTTTGGGGTGAACTATTCCTTTAACTACACCGTCTTGTAACCTTTGTCTTTCTAATTTTCAAAAACTTTTTAGCTAAAAAAAAAAATATATAAAAGTTTGTGGTGTTATTCATCTTGTAGCTGGTAGGTTTGGTTCATGGCTTTTAACTCTTTAACAGAGACTTTTCCCTATGGGAAAAAAAATACTTCCACAACCAAGGCAACGGAGGAAAGTGCACTCTTTACAGAAAGGGCTCAGCTTATGAATATTAATTAGCTTTCAGCTTGAGCTCTTTTCGCCGTGTTTAAATATTTTGAATTAAAAACGCATAAACCGTTCACGTGTGATACACTTCACTTACCCTTTACTGGTGTTCGAGTGATGCCAGGTGTGGGTGAGCGGGGGTCAAACACAGGCCCGACTGACTCCGCCACAGGAAGAGGAGAGTAAGCCACGCCCACCTACAGGAAAATTCAATCAAACTCACACACACGGGATCTGAAAATGGCATATTGAATCTTTTCAAGCGAATCGAATCTTTTATTAGAGACTCATAAACAGAAGTGTTGGCTGTTTTCATTCATTTAAAAGAAGCCTCTAATGCACACCAAGCCTGTATTTAATTGGGGGGAAAATTGTGAGATATTACTACAAAATATTTCAAAGCTGAATTTTCAGCATCATTACTTCAGTCTTCAGTGTGACATGGTCTTTCAGAAATAATTGTAATATTCGGATTTGATCCTCAAGAAACAATTATAATAAACACAGAATTAACTAAAAACAATTAATGAATAAATATTCCACAATTCTTTTTTTCAGGATTCTTTGAAAAATAGAAATTTCTAAGTAACAGCAATTATTTGAAATGGAAATCTCTGCTGTCACTTTTGATCAATTTAATGAATCGTTGCTGAATGAAAAAAATAAAAAAAATCATACTGCCCACAAACATTTAAATGGAAATGTAGTATAAACACATACAGATGAATGATGAACTACTGATGAAACCCAAAACGACACGGTCATCTGAATTATCAATATATTCTGTTGAAATGGTTGCTATTATAGTGGGACTTATGTGGGTAGAGGAAGTGACACCAGACAGAGCTGTGATTTGCTCAGACTCTGCTTCTGTCTTAACTTCATTATCCAGCCACCAGTCATCTAGAGAAGATTGAATGAATGAAGTTTTAATGTTAATATGGCGAATTCAAAGGAAAGGAATTTTAATAGGATTTTGTTGGGTTCCAGCCCATATAGGGGTAGTTGGGAATGAAATAAGTGATCAACTGGCTAAAAATGCTTTAAAAAAAAAGAAAGAAAAGAAATTGATATCAATGTTCCATTAGGCAGAGGGGAAGTTAAAAGTATTACTAAGAGGAATGTTACAAGGGGATGGCAAGAAGTGTGGAATCTAGATTATAAGGGAAGACATTTATATAAAATCAAAAAGCAGGTAGATACTAAAATGATTGTAAGAGGAAGGAAGAGGGGATAATAGCTAGATTAAGACTGGGTCATTCAGGGCTGAATGGTTCATTGTTTTTAATTGGTGTACATGTTAACGGCTTATGTGAATTTTGTGGTGAGAAAGAAACAATTGAG